TCAAATCGGAAAAAAAAATTTAAGTAAAACTTGCTATTTTGTAGCATAATGTTGTGGAATAAAGTGTATTCTGCAGCAAAGTGATTAATGAACAGAAGAGGGAGAGGCTTAATTAGCTTAATTTTGCTTGACCAGATTTCAAACCAGATGGCGTCTGAAATTATGACAGCAGTGGCATTTTAATCTACAGGAGTGAGTTGTGGAGGTTGGGATAGGGACATGCAAGTAAAAGGTGAGGAAGAAGGTTTGAAAAACTGGTAAGAGGCTACAAAATAGTAAAAATGTTTTGGTGAAGAGTTACAGAAAAATAAATTTTCATTCTAATTACCTGATAATAAGGCAGCTTTAAAGTTGAGGTACACTGGTAGTTGGTTATCTTGATTACTGTATCATAGAATGGTTGGGGTTGGAAGGGACCTTAATAAAGATCACCTAGTTCCAAACCCCTGCCATGGGCAGGAACACCTTCCATTAGATCAGGTTGCTCAGAGCCCAATCCAACCTGGCCTGGAACACTTCCAGGAATGAGGCATCCATAACTTCTCTGGGCAACCTGTGCCAGTTCTTCACCACCCTCACATTAAGGAATTTCTTCTGAATAGCCAATCTAAACCTGCCCTATTTCAGTTTAGAGCCATTTCCCCCTGTTCTATCCCTACATACCTCTTAAGATTTCTTGTAGTCCCTCTTCAGGCACTGGAAGGCTGTAATTAGGTCTTCCTGAAGCCTTCTCTTCTCCAGGCTGAAATCTCAGCCAACTTCCTCAGCCTTTCCTCATAGGAGAGGTATTCCATCCCTCTGATCATCCTTTTGACCCTCCTCTGGACTCTCTGTATTTACATATGTACAAAGGCTGGTCAATTTCAACTGTAAAACTGGTTTCAGCCTCTTCCCAGTACTGACCAAAGGTTTGTCCATAAACACAATTTGGGATGCTTGAAATGTGTTCTATAAATGAAAAAGTTATATGGCAAAGGAAGTTTTGGTAGTGTAACTGCATTTAATTTAGGAGCTCATTTGTCAGCACTGGGATGTTACACTTTTAAGTAATATTGCTATGCTGTTAAAAAGTCTTCAGTGCAGACAAAAATGTTTACAGGAAGTATCTTATATGGGACATATAAGAAATGTTCATCTTGATAAGTATTTTACCAGGATAACTTAAAGATGTGTCTTCTGCTCAACCAAAATATGAAAATGGTGTACAGACCGAAACTTGGCTGTTTGTGCAGGACTCTTCTGAATCACCCTGCCCCAAGACTGATTTAGCCATGAGTCCTGATAGTTACACCTCACGTGTCTGAGTCATGGGGCTTATCATTTCCAGACAAATTATGCAGTTATTGCAGAGCCTGGGTCTGAGCTTGAAACTTCTGTAAGCCCAGCCATGTGTACACTGTAGATGTGTGGAGCAGTGGATCAGGGTAAATGGCTCTGTTAGGAGACCATAAGGAAGGTGCAAGTACACCGCAGTGTTGTGCTTTTTAGTCTGCTCTTGCTCTTGGAAGAGGTTTTTCTTAGTGCTTGAGCTTTGCCAGCACAATTTCCATGCAAGGAGCATTTGGTGACTAGAGCGGATGACGTAGCCTGTCAGGGCACTCCTAGTCTAGACACCACTATCTCCATTTACATACTGAAGGTCTAAGTCACTTGGAAGACGGGGACTAATAATCTTGAAAACCAGTCACAAACCCTTCATGGCCCCCCTTTCCAGTGCTGGAAGTACTAATCACTGTAGTGTTCTTTGCATGTAAAGCCTGTAAGAAGCAGTATGTTTAGGTTTTTATTATTATGACTCCTTACCATGGCAGGAAAAAGGAGTCTGCAAGGCTTGTGGTTTGGAATGGAAAAGAGAGAGGCATTTTCTAAAACCACTAGATAATGAAATTTAAAAAATCTCTCTAATTGTTCCAGCCCTAGAGCTAGTTTGGGGCAATATAGGACCAATTAGATTATTAAAACCACAGTTTCTGATCTCTATCAATTATTCTTACAACTTAAGCAGCCCAGGCCTTTAGGAAGGTGTTTTTGATTAGGTGTCTGTTGGTTCCATCACCTCCTGCAGCTGTGGTTACATCATTAAGGAGATTCTTCAGTAATGGCTTAAACTGGAGTTTAAATCTCAATTAGGAAAGGAAAACGTTGTTGTCTGTTCCCCTAACTGCTTTTTTTTTTTTTCCCTAAACAGAAAAAGGTAGATCTGGAAGACCTGTTGAATTATGCCTCCCTCCATGCACAACAGATACAAAATATTTCCCTAAATCAGATTTGCAATCATTTCACTTTATTTATTGCACAGAGAGTCAGGATCCTTGGTTGTCATGTGCTACAGAAAAAGGACAGGAGACTTAGAAGTTTGGCAGTGTTGAAGTGAGATCCCTTTTTTTCCCCCTTCCTTGTGGAAGCTGAAGGAACACTGCTGTTCCAAGCAAGAATTACATGATGCCTTTATCTCTGCTGCCCTCGTGCTACTAGAACCTGGACTGGTGGGTGTCTGGGGCCCACTGAGACTTTTTAGGCTACATGACACTTCTTATGCTTCCTATTATGGGCTGAGACCTGCTGGGACAAGATACGGTGCTACAATTGAAGTTGTTCTTGTGATTCTGGATGCTGCCCCCTTCTACCCCCCAAAAAAAAGAAAAAAATTGAGTGAAGTGTCTGTAGCGAAAAGTTGTGTGTAAGTCTGAGGCTTTAGGGTATTAGAGGGGTGCGTCCTGCAAATTGAAAGTGGTGTGCAAATGTCGTAACTCCTGAAGGTAGGTTTGCTTGTAGAAGTATTGTGTTAGTACACCAGCTGATACAGTTGGAGGAAAACAAGACAGATGATCTGAAAGCTCTGCATGTCCAAAAGCTTGTTTACCTTTTCTGATTTTATCAGTTGACCTAATCAAAGGATTACATCTCTCTACAAGCCTTGAATCTGTTTTATCCTTAGACCATCTTAGCTGTGACACCACTGTTTCTTGACTGGTGACTCTTGCAGGTTTGGTTTGGCCAGTCACAAGTGGTGTCCCTCAGGAATCAGTGTTGGGCCTAATCCTGTTTAATATCTTTACTGATGATCTGGATGAGGGGATCAAATCTCCCATTAGTAAATTTGCAGATGACACCTAATTGGGGGGGCAGTGTCAGTCTTCTGGATGGTAGGAGTGCTCTCCAGAGGGACCTTGACAGATGGGCTAAATCCAAGCATATGAGGTTCAACAAGATCAAGTGCCAGGTCCTACACTTTGGCCACAACAACCCCATGCAGTGCTACAGTCTGGGATCAGAGTGGCTGGAGAGCAGGCAGGCAGAAAGGGACCTGGGAGTTTGGATTGACAGGAGGCTGAACATGAGCCAGCAGTGTGCCTGGTTGGCCAAGAAGGCCAATGGCATCCTGGCCTGCATCAGGAACAGCGTGGCCAGCAGGACCAGGAAGGGATTCTTCCCCTGTACTCAGCATTGGTGAGGCTTTGCCGTGAGTACTCTGTCCAGTTCTGGGCCCCTGAATTTAGGAAGGACACTGAGGTGCTGGAGCGTGTTCAGAGAAGGACAGTGGAACTGGTGAAGAGTCTGGAGCACAAGTCCTGTGAGGAGCAGCTGAGGTAACTGGGGTTGTTTAGCCTGGGGAGGAGGAGGCTCAAGGGAGATCTTATCACTCTACAACTACCAGACAGGAGGTTGTACCAAGTGGGCATCAGTCTCTTCTCCCAGGCAACCAGCAATAGGACAAGAGGACACAGTCTTAAATTGTTCCAGAGGAGGTTTAGGTTGGATGTTAGGAAGAAGGTCTTCACAGAGAGAATGGTTGGGCATTGGAATGGGCTGCTCAGGGAGGTGGTGGGGTCACTGTTCCTGGAGGTGTTTAAGGAAAGACTGGAAGTGGCACTGAGTGCCATGGTCTAGTTGACAAGGTGGTGTTTGGTCATAGGTTGGACTCAATAATCTCAGAGGTCTTTTCCAACCTAGTTGATTCTGTGATTCTGTGAATGGTAATTGTAAGAAATATGATTTAGAAAGTGGTGAGAAGTAGGGTTTAACAAATGGAATTTTCCTTGTAGGGAAATGTCTGTGGTTTTTTTCTGATTAAATTCCTTGCTTAGTGCAAAAGGCTGCAGGATATAATGAAGCATCTCCAACAAGTACCACAAAAGAACTTCTTTCCATTTAAAACATTTAACTGCACAACTGCACATGGTGCTGATGAAATCACTTACTTACCCTTTAAAATCCTAACAGATAATTTTTTTAGTTTATAGACAAAACACAGTTACAAAATGTTTCACTGTTTACCATGAAGATTACTAACTAGAAGAGACTACTGCTTGAAAGTTGTACACGTATATATGTAAATGACATGCGTGTGTAGAGAAGGCACATTAATATAATTGGTATTCAGAGTAGTAGAAATCAGACAAATACTTCATGTATATTTTAAAATCTATAGTTCTGTTTTTCCTAAGTGTAGGCAAATCTACTGTGAAAATGTTTTGACACTTTTTTCTACACCAGATGTATGGTTAGTGGGAAAGAGGGATTAATTAGGCACCTACCTGCTTTCCTGTCCAAGAGCTATATTTCCTTTTGAGGTTCTGCTTTGCCTTTTGTAAGAGGGGAATGGGCCAGTGTTCCAGCTTTTCCACTGCCAGCATACACAGCTTGGGAACAAATTATGGCCCCCAGGGAAGCAGCCACTTACCATTCTAGGTTAGGAACAGGTTGCTTCCCTCTGAAACAATAGGAGAAGCAAAGCAGATATTCTCTCTTGTTCTCTGCTTCACATAGTGTGTTCTTGAGACAACCCAATTCACACAGACTGCTCGAATCAGAGTACCTCCTCATCCAGATTTCTGTGGTTGTATTGTTTTAAGTAACTGTAATGCTTTCCATAAAACTAGTCAGTATGGCAGTGTTTTAGATGTTCTTTTTTAGATGCTCTTGTTCAGAAGCTAATGAATGAAACGCTTGAAAGTCATCTGCGGAGAGTGGCTCCACTTCAATACCCTGTTTTCCAGATAGCCAGATGACGGAAAGAAAAGAAGAAATGGTGGGAACAGAAAAGCACTGTGAGCAGCTTCCTAAACAGGAAAGATCAGATGTGCAAAGCCAAGATCATGCTAGTACTAGTCCGGTGCTACCAGAGTCTGCCAAATTTGCAGCACTGTAAGGCCAGTTTACTTTACAATTTTGTACTTCAAAGATATGATGTAAGACGTTTTGTTTCACTGAGTAGAAATGACATAAACTTTTAATTAACCTCTCTTTCTTTTTGTTTTATTGAGAACAAGAAAAAAGTTCCTCATAGTAGTTTTGAAACATTTTTGTGTCAAGTTACCAGGGCAGCAGGCAAAGACAGATAATCTACCGGGTAACTTCTCAGCAAGACAGTTCTGTCTTGCAAGTAATAAGTGGACCTGAGGCATCTGTGCAAGATGAGCTCTCCGTGGATGCAATGCACGTGTTCATAGATGAAAATGGTGAGTTTATGTAGCTGGGATAATTACCATGCATGAAGAAATTTCTAAAGAAAGTTTAGATGCCCTGGAAGGATATTTCTCTTGTCTTATTGCGTGTTATCTATTGCATGTTTTTCTGTGTGTGGGAAAGAAAAGGGCTTAGTAATATAAAGTCAGATCAGCAATAAATGGAGTTTTTAAAATCCACTAGTGACCATCATAGACCCGAGCCTTACACACTGCTTGAAGTTTGTCTTATAAGCATCATCCTCAAAATATGCTGGCTAGGCCAGAAGACTACTTCTGTCTCTTCAGGAGACCTCCTGGTGTTTTCTACCTGACTAGGAGTCTTTGCACTGGCCTGACTGGGCAAAACATTCCTCCTTTTTCCTGTTTTATTTTTTTTTTTAATTCAGCTGACTCACACTGGTCTCTAATAATTGTGGTGGTTGCTGTCATTTGGAGTTGTGGTTTGCAAACCACCCTTTCCAAGAGAATTAATGAGCGACCTAGTCTTGCCCCGTGCCTGTACTTGGAGTGCCACTGCTCGGAAGCTATTCCTTGAGTCTGAAGCTGTAGTGTGCTTGGTGGTGGTTTGTCTGAGCCCGGTAGCTCAGGGTTCATGACCCCAGGGATATTTTGGTTTTCTGCCAGTTCCTCCTGGCCCTGGCTGCAGCCGCTGGTGTGCTGTGGGGCGAAGGGCAGCAGCTGCCAGTCGGGCAAATGGCACGGCCTCTGGGTCAGTGAGCAGCGACCCTTGGCTTTGTGCTCTGCGTGTGAGCAGGGAGCACCAGCAGCTACACTTGTAGCAGAATGTTTTGCTGCAGCGTACCTTCTGACCTCACCTTTGTGAATGGAAAGAGAAAAATCTGATTATTTGCCATTTTACAGTGAGCTTATATTGATCAATGGGCTCTGTGTTTAATTTACCTTTTAAATTTTCACTGTAACTTTGGTGTTTTGATTTCTATCGGGTTTTCAGTTGTTCAAATGTTAATTTGCTTTCTGAAGTCTAAAATAAGCCTAGTGCACAAACTGAGAACTATATATTTATATATATGCCTTAACTAAAATGTATTTTTTATAAATTTTGTGTGTAAAGCAAATGATCATATCACTGAACTGATTGTTTTCTCCCTCTGTATTTTCCAAAGGGGAAATTAGATCCTGCTATTTAAAAGCTGGCTGTCAGAAGGAAGGAAATTTTAGACATCAGCTATCAAATTGTGATTGTATGTCAAATGCTCAGTAAGTAAGACCTTATTTTTAGAAATGTTAAGAGTTTTCATTACTAGAAACTATGAAACTGTGGCTGTGAAAGATGCACATGAAGCGGGGTATTGGAGAATATATGTGCTAATCTCTTCTAGAGAAGTCAGAGCATGAATTTTTGGGTTTTGTTTTCTGCTAAAACAGTGACAGTTTCATAAGAATATTGAAAAGAGAAAGTGAAAACAAAAACCAGAACTATCCACTGTGCTTTCATTACTTTCTGGGAATAGCCTAAGTCAAGTGTAGAGATTATAGATAAGATTGTAAATAAAGTAAGTGGGATTGTTACCAGCTGTTCTCTAAACCTTGTCTTGTTTGCTTCCCATATGTGTTGGGTCATTTGAAGATTTTTAGTGCTGTGTCAGTATCAGTCACTGACACTGTTTCATGTCAATTCTAGCAGCAGAGCCTTTCACCTTGCATTAAATCCCTAATGATGGTCTGGCACTCTGATAAGGTATCCATTTTTCAAAGGTCTTTTTGGAGTGATCCACACAAATGCTATATTCATTACAATGGTTTCCACACTCTTCTATGTGATCTGTTTTTTGCATATCTGTAAAAAGAATTTTAAATATTCGTTAGTATTTTTATGAATTAATTTTGGGTTTCATATTGTTTTACAGCAGTTGGACAAGTTGAGTGAGGGAATGGAAATGGTCTTCGTTAATAGCAAATATTGTTCTTCAAGTGTTTGGCTTTCAATGGAGACTTGAAAAGCTTGGGACCATGTTAAAAAACTGTGTTAGCATTTCAGAGTGCTATTATGAGAGACATGAGAATAATGCTGTTATTTGTCAGTGGGCAAAGAGTAAAAAAAAAATAATTTGAGTTAATCTACAGTAGAAATCTTCAGTCTGTCTTTAGCAAAATAAAAAAACACCAACGTGGTAGAGTTTGATGTTGATCTGAAAAATGAAACATTTTACTATGGTACTATTTAACTCTTGCAACTCTTTTTGTTTCACCTTGCACAGAATACTCTCCTTCTCCCACTTCTTATAACTATGAACTTGAATCTGTCCTAAATTCAGAAATAGTTTTTTGTCCCCTGACTTTTATCAATTAATTTGTTTTTAATCAAGGGGGGACAATCTTCCTTCTCGTATAAGAAGTCATGCTGAATCTGCCTTTGGTAGATGCATATTGACGTCTCTGTCTTCCTATGCTAAGTGCTGTTTTTAGTTTGAGGTTTGCAGTCCTCTAGGGTTGTGATTTATTTTTAAGAGGTCTACTAAATCTTGTTAACAAAAGCAAGTTCAGATATACGTTGCAGGCATTTATGTGCATGCAATTTCTGAAGATCAGCACCTTTGCTGGAAATCTCAGGGTACAGTGACAGTTTAGGCTGGGGAGTAGAACAGATCAGCAAAGACAAGTGAGTTCCCAGGACTGTTCCTTTATGGGAGTGAATGGGAAGACAGAACACAAGAGCTTTTCCCAGAGCAGAGCAGCATGAATGAAAGTGCAAAGCAGAAGTTAATATGAAAAATAAGGAAAGGGAGCAGGGAAGCATTAAGTATGCTTAAGTTGGTTTTTGCAAGGGCAGTTTGTAATATGTTTAGAGAGATTAGTGAGAGCTCTTTGTTCAATGGGAAGTTTCTACCATCTGCACGTAGACTGGAGGGCAGATGGGAAGGAAGTGAGTTTTGTGTTCACTATCAAGTAATTTTGTCTTTAGACAATACAGAACACTTACAGCATATAGAAAATAGAGGGGGAAATGTGCTTTAAGAATAGTTCAGAAATGAAGCATCTTTCCTTCCCCTTTACCCCTGTCCCCACCAGCAGGCTTATGTCAGGTTACTTTCCTATCCATGGTTGAAGATAAAACACATGATCCCCATTATTAACTAATGATCTTTTTATTACTGAAGAAAAAGGCAAATAGAATAAAACAAAGCACAAGGGGTACTTTCTTCACTTAATCTCTTCTGTGTGTCTGTCTGTGGAGGGTCCTTTACAGAAATTATTCCTTTGTGGGTGGGCCTACCTCTAGTAGAGTAGAGTTATAATGAGAGTAACCCATACCCAACAGGAGATGCTGCTGTTATGAAAGGATACTGATGAGACAGAGAAACCACCTCAGAGATGAACTTTGCTTATATCGCATCAGAAAGTTAACTAAGGAGAAGACAATGATTTTGACAGTACTTCTTCATGAGCAATTGAGGCAGTGCAGCTTGAGGGCTGGTGTCTGAATTCATTAATAAACCATCCAAATTAGATTTTATGAGGTCAAAGGATGCAGGAGAAAATTAATGCCTGGACATAAGAGGTGGCATTCTCCTTGAATAGTAGGAGTAGGGTTTTAATCTCGAGGAGTCCAGATTTCAGAATTTAGAATGAGCATAGAGAACAATACATAGGTTTGCAGTAGGTGCATGTGGGCTGTTAAAGCACTCTTCACCAATCATACTTGCTTTATACTGCTAAGATTAAATTGCTCCTAAAGGGAAAATGTCAAACTGAGTTGAGCCAGTGGAGTAACATGTGGATTTGAATGGACTGTGCCCTGATGTGTTTCTTTATGAGGAGAATTGGCCCAGACAGAGGATGGCAAGAGGCCTCTTGCTTTGGGAGCAGTGTTTGGAGAGGCAGCAAGCCAGTCACTGGTGTGCTGTGAGCTGTGACCCTTCTGGGTAACACTGAAGTTGTGAAAGGGGAAGGAATTTTGACTGAAGAGGGTATGAACTCTGACTTGTTTGTCAAGAATAAGATAATTGCCTTATGAAATGGCCATAGGTAACTACCTTTTAACTAAGTTATGCAAAACTGAAGAAGGTATTTAAATATAACTCAAAAGAAACCATTAAAGAAAGCCTTGAGGCAGACTAACTAATGTTTAATGATCTTAAATTCAAATTATAACTTGCTATTTCTGTCTGTTTAGTCCTACTGTTGTCTGCTCCATTAATAAAGTATTAGCCTGTATGGCATTTCACATCAACTTATTTGGATCTGAAATTAAACTAGTATTTCTATGGTCTGTAAACGTTTTATCATCTTAGCATGGCTTCTGATAATTTCTCACAAATAATGCAAAATCTTAACAATGCCAGTCTGTCACAGAAGTGAGGATATGTTATGGTTTTATTTTTGTTCTGTGCTTTGGCGTGCTTCCTGCTTTTCCTTTCCTTGTGAAGCAGTAGGTGAACAACAATGGATTACAATGTACCAGAGAAAGCAGATGTCCAAATTTAAAGGAGTCTGATTTTTTCCTTCGAAGACTCCTTAATATGGCAGACAATACTGTTAAATGGAATTACACATTTTCTTTTTCCCTCTGCAGTGTTGTGAGATTATCTCTGGAGTGTTCCCAAGTTTATCAGTGGTAATATATATTCCACCAGTTTCTTTCTGTCTTTGTTTAGTTTTATTGTTGGCTTTTTCAACTACAGTAGTTGTCCTAATGAAAGATATTACTTCTACCTGCAGTCCTTGTCCTGGGAAATTTTCAGAGCTTCTTAAATGTACTATAAACACTTTTTTTTTTTTTTTAATAATTTCCAAAATTATCACTTAATTCTGCCAAAGGTTACTAAAAATTATTACTTTTTCTGGTTATCTCCATATTTATGTCTCACCAACAAGTCTCTTGCCGGTCTAACAGTGCAGCTTTTAAAATATTTAAAGACTAAGCCAAGTTAAATTTCAAGGATGTTTTTATGTTGTAATGACCACCCAAAACAGATAATTCCTCTTCCAGCTTAACCCCCACTTTGGTGGGAGATTTTTGTCACTGGGTTTGGTAAGTTATTTAAATGTTGGCAGGTAGCTAATCAATTCCCTGGTTATTGTCCATGCAATTACCCTGACTCCACTTTTGGCTGTTGTCTTGCCAGCAACACCTCTTGCCAGAAGCCCCTGGGGAATGGGTTCCCTACTGAGCTAATTGACTCTTAATTTGATGCTTCCATTACCCTGCCAAGCTCACCTCTAGCCACAAATTTTTTTGTGACAGGCTTTGACAAGACAAAGTGTAAACTGTATTCTCAGCTCATGGCATACATTAGAAATTAGTACAGAAAGACCATTTGAATTTGTTTTGGAGTGAGAAATTGGAAATGGCTTTTGCATCTGAAAGCCATTCTCCTGCCCCATTACATTAATTCTCTATCAGCCTTTGTGTCTGTTAGAGTGAATCTTTATGTTTTTATGCTGTGTGTTTTTAGTATGTGCTTGGCTTCTGGGAAGGCATATAATGGTAAGAGAGTTCCCATTTGCGTAAGGCATGTGCTGAGTATAAGCCTGAACTGCCTTTTGGCGTGGTTAGTTTGACTTCTCACCAAATGGCCTCGAAGTTTTCATCTTACCTGTACAGAACAGTTACGATTTCAAGGTCTTCATATAAGATTGGTGATACAAAGTAAATCCCATGAGCATTAATAAGAACACACCCTTAAAAAAGTGAGCTGAAAGGATGTGTAAGTTGAAGAATTATTAGAGGTATATAATTATCTTCTGGGCTCAGGAGAAACAAGGCGATGTTAGTAAGTGTCTTACAAATAAGGAGGTGTCACTCTGACATACATTTTCTGTCACTCTGTGACAGAAAGCAGGTCTTTAATTTCTTTACCTTGAATGTCTATTGCAATTGAATAACAGTTAATTTTTGATAAGCAGTCAAGAGGATATATGTGAGCTATCACATTATCTTGGTTCATAAGTATCGGTGAAAGCATAAACCCCTAAAATTACAGAGTATATTATAGTAGTATAATTAATGATTTTTGCATGAGTTGCATATTCTGTCCCCAGTACAGAGACTAAAAGAGCCATAAGGTGTATATCCATGTCAGTATATAAATTTGAAAGAAATCATATTTGTGCATACAAGGCTAATAAGATTTTTAATGTTTAACTACTTTTCTAAATGTGCTTTCTTTGCGTTCTGGGGCTCTTGTTTAGCACCTCCAGTGTGTGTGTACATTAATATTGAAGAAAAACATGTCAGTGTTTGATGCCTCTCAGTA